CTATCACAATTGATATTTCATTTTCTATAAAAATCCGCGGTGTGCTGTATAATTTAAAACTCTAACGAAACATGTTAAAGAGAAAAAACAGTTGAACAAGTTATATTTATGTGAATCCTCTATAGGGGACCGGGACATGCGTGTAAAGCTGGGTGTCCTTTTGAATTTCCCAAAGTCGGCGTTGCGAGAACATGAAGCATATTCCTAAGGGGTCCGAAATTTTTGTACAAAACGAAAGGGATAGCCATGGGATTTCGTTTAATAGAATCGGGCTGGTTGATATACGAACCGTGGCCAAAATGGATTTTCAGAGATTTATGCTCAGTTCTCCGAAGCTCGAACGTGGGTGCTTTTAATCCTACTATCGTAAAAATGGTCCTCGAGTTAAAATTAAGTCTGATATTTCTGAGAACAGTGAATATTAAAATGAAATAATTAATTAATGAATCAATTATCAGTTATATTCTCCTGAAAATCTTGTTAATCTAAAATTACACGTCCAAATAAATGCAAGAATTTTTATAAATATGCAGACAATTATAAATTAGTTTGCGTTAGCTCGTAGCACAATAATTTATCAAAACAGAACATGATAAATCGTTACCAGCTGCCAGGAGTAACAATAATTAAGGAAATTTGATAACGATGTAGAGATAGTGTTGAACAGGAGAAAATGAAAGCACCGGCACTCTCGAAACATTAATCAATCAACCGGAGTTAAAAATCTTCGCCTCACCCTCTCGAAACTTTTCCCTTAATTCAGCACGCAAACGCTTATTATCTAGAAGCTGTTTCGTTGAAGCCGTTCTACTCTAAATGCCACGATCGCATTAAGAGACTTTGCAAAATGTACGTGAGTTAACTGACTCGCCGCAAAGGTGAAATTGCCACGTAACTCATGCGATTTCCCACGTCGCGCTATTACTTAGCGCGCGCAGTGTTTCTGTGCGAGGGAAAGACGAAGCTAGACAAACGAACGAAGCTGTGATCGTAATTTTTTTTTCGCGGGGCAACGTACATAAATTCGTGGATACAGTTATTGCCCAGCGTAGCGGCGTCTGAAAAACTCAGAGCCGGGCACGAGAGGTTTATAAAACGCGTTTACCCCGTTCCGAGCCGAGGGACGTCATAAAACGAGGCTGCAGTGTGAAATTCGAAAGGGCGCCGAAAGGGGAAGGGCGAAGTTTTTAGCTCAAGTCACAGCCGTGTTCCTGGGCCTCAAATGAGTCCTCGTAAAATACGCTCTACCAGAATCGCTTCGTCGAGATAAAAACCCAAGTAATGAAACAGCCAGAAAAATCACGAGCTGTTCTGGTTGCCCTAATAGAAATCGCGACTTACTCCTCGCTTAATTCCGCGATGCTTTCGAATGGAATTAAACATTTTTTGTAAAAGTGGCATGAAGTAGATTTTGCATCTTCCCGAATTGCACGAGTTCCCGAATATTTGTCCTCGCTCGAACGTCGACTGTTCCGAGTCCGTCGCGCGTAGCCACGTAATCCAACTTCATGAAACAAAATCATTTTGCATATCGGGCAACGAAAGTAGTCGAGGGACGCGGAAGGAGGTAGGTGTAGGGCCGAGAAGGTCGAGAGGGAAGGTGGGTAATTCTCGCACGGCTGCCGGTGGAACGTGAAGGGCTCTCGAGGCAAAGTCGATCGTGACACAATGGCGGATCGGAAAAGTTTCGGTCCCCAGTGCCGTTGGTATCTGTTGGAAAACGGAAGCGACCGATCGATCTTCCTTTCTTCTCGACTTGGTCGCCCGGTTCGACTGGGATCCATCGGTGGAAATTCCGAAACTTTCTGACCGAAGCCAAAAGGCGAGAGCAGAGGAAGCTCCGATACAATCTCGACCGCAATTTTCACGCCGATACGGTCGCATAAGTCCGAGTGGGATTTTATGGGTTAACGGGCTGATCGTGGCCGAATTTCCAAGCTCATTAAAATTGTCTCGATTTTTACTACCAATGATTTTGCTTCCAATTTTCGAGCACGTGTTTTAATTGGATCTTTCTATTTCATATAAACACGGATGACTAACGATCGTCACTGTGTTCCAAACAACCGACGCGTATTCATTATGTAAAACGAATAAAACAGAAATACCTCGAATATCGTCATTAGTCGTATTACGTCGCACCTCCGTTAATTTAATTTTTTAATTAAAATCAGATACGTTTGACGCAATGGTTTATTGACTAAAAACGGACGATATTTCACCGTACCTTTTGACGCAACATTTAAAACTCGCCCACCCTCGATTAGCGTTTAACTGAACTGTCATCGGCAATGGCTCGCTCGCGACTCGTAATTGACAACGCATGAAGCCTCGAGTCCAAAGTATCATTTATAATTGTCCGCGTATAGTCTCTTGAAGAGTGACAATTTTCAACGGACTCGTTACACATGACGATATTATTAGTACGCTCGTTTTTCTTTTCACCTCGAATCGAAGTACTTGGCGTCCGTCTCTCCTTCGTTCCTCGCCGGCCGACTGCTCCTCGGTGTTAATTCAAGAAGGCACCGGATAAACGCTCGCAGCTTGTGCCGCGGCGTAATTAACAGGGCGCGAGTCGGCCGGCCAGTCTGTGATTACAAACTCGCCCCGTCTGATCCTCGTCTACTCCGCCTCTCTTATATCTCTCACCCCCCCGCTTTTTTCCCCGTCGCTTCGTCTAACGATACCCGGCTGTAATTATACTATAAATTTTAATCGTTTCCCGACGCTCTCTTTCACTCGTTTATGCCGTTTCACGAACGAAACTTGTCGCGACGCTGTCAGTTTTACTCTCCGTTCGCTTTCAGATTCTGAGAGCGGATCCTAGTTGAATTATGAAGGATTTAATTAAAAGTAAGAGAGACGCGTCGAGCTAATCGCGCGAACGAGACTTCGCTAGTTTCTCCGGCTTTTATGAACTGATCGTCGAGACGTCTAAAGCAGGTCATCCAACTGTACGTAATGACGTATATATATAATCCACCTACTCGAACACTACGTATTTATATTCGCTGAAAGCTTAATGAAATTGATTTTCCTTAAAAGCAGCTATTCAGTAATTTAGTTTATTTCATTAAAACCGATAGATAAGTAAGTCGAGCTATTTAAGAAACGAAGGGATCTATAGTTGGACAGAGAGGCGCGCAGATGTCTCGCGAAATTACACAGAAAATATCGGCTGTCCAGTTTGAAGGATCGTCGATTCAGTTTACAGTCCGTGAGCTAATAAGCAAGAGAGAGAGAGAGAGAGAGAGAGTAGTTGGATAAAAACTAATTCTCCCAACTACGACGTAATTTCGTATAATCCGTCGGAATCTGATAAAAACGCAGCCGTTTAAGCAACCGGCCGAGTGCCATGTCGTCGCATATTTCTCGCGGCATAATTTTTCGGGATTCGCAGAGCTTAGCCGCCTGCCTACCTACCTACCTACCTACCCACTCGGCTCGGCGTGAATTTAATATCGCCACGCCACGTTTCAACAATGCGAAAATGTAAATTCTCTGGGAATTTAAGTACGCGGGAATCCGAATGTCTGTAAATGTGATTTTTACAGAATTACTCGTTGTGTTTATAGGAACACCTCGTAGAGATTGCATTTATGTCAACGAATATCTTGAGAATCGTTTATAAGCTTATCAATTTGTTTATTCCAATTAGATTTTGTTAACTATTAATTATTCTGTGTATTTATAATCATGTCGGAAGAGATCTGGCTACGAGGTCGATCGAAACAGCCGATTCAAACCACGGAACGTGATTCGGATTCGCACTGGATGACGTATAAGCTGTTTGTTAATTTTGATCGGAATCCGCTATAAAATTTAATGCAACGGGAGGGAGGAGAAGTGACAGCTATCCGATCTATCGGATCGAAAATTCTCTTGTTGAATGTTCGGGCACGACGCGCCGCTGTCCACGCATTGTTCGTTCCTGCCGAGCTCTCACACCCGGATTTCGCTAATTATCAATCGCGTTGACGAGTTAATTCATCGGACATTAACGGACCCTCGGTTTCAAAACTCGTGGCTTTGTTCACCGCCACACTTTTCGGAGGTTCGTCGACAATTTGGAATCTCGACGATCATGTTTGTTTATGCATCCACGGTATTCATAAAGACTTACTGAATGTGAATTTAATTGTATTTAAGTGACTTGTATAATCGGAGAACTGGGAAATTCATTTTCTCAGATGCTTCCGGTTTATCAAATTTATTAAATAAAATAAAATATTTGTGCATACTGCGGTCGATAAAGGGAATCAGTGACCCCAAACTTGATCGTAAACTCCGTCCGCACAAAGCGAGGACCCTTAACGATTCCCCGGGGCTTTGAAATCTTCCCAGCGAAAATTTATCGCGAATCCGATTTAAACAGTAAATGAAAATTCATAGATATATCTAGACGTTTTCTAATGAAAAATGGGTCAGAGAGAAAGAGAGAGAGAGAGAGAATTTCGCGGTTTGCCGCGAGTTACGCGCGTTCCACGCCAATCTGATTTAGTTCCGACTTTAACGAACGATGAAACGGTTTCACGCGCCTCGTCTATCCGAGAAATTTCAATGATATCGCTCGGTTAACGAAACATTTTATACGAAAGGTAAAAATCTTTCAAAAACCGTGTGTGAAATAAATGATTTTTGTTTTCAACGTTTACAGTAAAATCGTACTATGTACACGTGCATGCATCGGTAGCTAGGGAAGTTGTTAACGACTTGTTTGATAACGAGGTCCGCTAAGCGTTTTAATTAACGCCGTTTGCGTACTACCATGAGTTTTGAGTCCCAAAGGACCGATGGCAGACGAAACTCGGTAACATTCATAATTAGCAGGCTGTCGATAAAAAGAAAAGATTTGTGAAACGTCCCAGAGCAATTTCCTTAATAGATGAATCATTAAAGTTCTCTTAATATCTACTATTAAATTCGTATTATATGATCGTTGCGTCATAGTTGAGGATAGATTCGATAATTTTCTGTTTCGTTCTTCTCCAGGTTTATGCGCTGCATGTGCTCGTGATTTGTGAGACTACTTCCATGCCCATCGTTCGAAGAAGCTGCTGTATACTGCAGCCTAGCCGAGAACTTTGTTCTTCGTGAATAAATTGTGAATCGACCACGTTAACCCGCGTCGTTCAACGATTCCACGTGAGTACAGACATAAAATTGACATTTTACATATACATTCAGAAAGCGATATCAATAACTTGTTCCTGAAACATTTTTAACAACGGACCAGTCCCGTGAACTATAAAACGAACTTACCGAATCGTCAATGCGACGAACGTAAGGCGCGAGGCGAAGTAAAAAAATAGCCGATTTAATTGGCGATTGACGCGGGCTCGACTGGTGAAACGTATTCTCCCGGTCGAACGGTTTATAGGGTCAATTCAAATCGGAGGAATCCACGAAGTGCGGAAGCCGTAACTGCGCCCGACGAGTCGATATCGGAAACGGAACTGAAAGCGACATTGATATCCGCGCGCGACGTACGGTTTCCAAGCAACGATTAGAGGGATCGACCGTAGAATGTCCGAAAAACTTGGCAAAAATTATTATAGACAGTTAGATTTTTTTTATAAATTAAGTAGATTCATGTCGAATACAGTCGAGGAGTAATTTGTGTTTTAATTTTACTTTCGGACTGGCTTTTACACGGGTTTGCCGGTCGTATATTTTTATAAGCAACGGGAGGATCTGGGCTTAAGACGGTAAAAGGAAAATCCTCGTGTAAAGCATTGTAAGGGAGAGAGGATATCATTTCCTCTACTGAACTCTACTCGAACACTTCTACATTTATAGTACCCTCCAACAAATCCAGATGTCCAAGTGCTTTGCAAATGTTACGTGTTCCAACGTTGACGAGGCGTGTTCTACGGCTCTGTGTACGAACAGGGTAGATCCTGAAAGTTTGAATCGCGGACGTGACAACGTTTACAGAGTGCTTATAAATTGAAGTATTATATCCGAAAGGAGGATACGAGTAAGAGGCAGTTATAATAGTAGAATTCATTTTCTTATTATGTCGTTGGAACGTGAATAGTTTACAGAATGGATAGAGAAGAGATTAATTATAATCGGAGTACTTTTACACCGGCGATCGTTGATGGAGCTATAAATTCGACTTTGCTTGCTCGTTCTCATTAAATTCTGGTAATAACCAGAAATATATGTACCGTGATAATTATCGGCTAACCGTTCGTTGTGCTAATAAGTCGTATCAAACGCGCCAATTAACATTATATCGTTTCATAATAATACGTTCACGAACATCTCCGGTCGTCGGCCAATTACTGCAGTTTTAGCGCGCGCCGGTTATTTATCGCGCTATTATCTAAGTTTAGTAAATTACGTAGGAAGTAAGATAGACGAATCGTTTGTCGAACATGACGTATAATATTGTTTTCTCATTGATTGCGTCACCTGTCCTGTAATTGTTCCATCAACTTTTGACGATAAACGTCCTCATCAGTTTGAAACCCACAGACCCAATACTATCTCAATTTGTTCCAACTCCCACATGCCAGGCCGTCGTCCGTCCGAACGATCGCTGCAACGTTCCGGTGATAATAACCTGCACATCCGAATATCTGTGAATGAAATATCAATTATCTACGGTCAACGCCTACCGTGTAACACGTCCAAACAAATCTCGTGGGTCTCGCGTTTTCGAATCTGCTGAATTTCCGCGATAGCCGTCAGATTACCAGACCCGATAGCGGTTCCCGCTCGAGGAGCCAACGCTTCAGAAATTACGAGCTGTTTGCGTTCTGTCTAATTCGATATATTCTGTTCAAACCAGACCCGATTCTGATCGGTACGTGATAAGACTGTGGGAAAGAGCCCCCGCTATGACGTTTGCTTTGGTGAGTTTCGAACGGGTATTCCGTTGGGAACGGAGAGACGAGGTTCAATTTTCTTCATGTTTGAACAGAAAGGGAACGTTCTTGGGATCGACTGTTTCGTTTCACCGTCCGGTTGCTCAAACTTTTTCCAGATAATGTAACGGCAAACGAGAGAAAATTTAATGAGCATCGACTGATAAATCTGATCTTCTTTTTTAACTCGTGCGTGATCCAATTAATAATAGTGTTAATCGAGAAATTTACGCTCGCCCGTCGTTACGCTAATTCGTAGAGCGCGGCGATTTGATGGGAGAATTAACCGGAGCTCGCGAACACGATTAACGCAACGGGGAAGCTGAGCTGTCAAAGTTTAAAACCGGTGCTGAGAGTTACTCTTTCAGTACGATACGCGGGACTTCCCTTCGTTTATATCGGAAACACGCCGAGGTCGAACTCATTTGCACGCTCGTAAATCGATTTAAATTCTCATTAGTTTCGGCGAAACCGGCTGCGTAAGCGTGAGCGCGCGCAGCAGCAGCAGCAGCAACGAAAACAATTTAGCCAAGTGTTAGTTGACGTGCAATTAGAGGTTCTAATCGAGCCATCAATGAATAATATTGTTGACGATTTATTCGGTCGCGGGGCTGATTGTTAATCGATCGTTAATGCGAACTCGGTGGATGCAATGTTGGCTCGATTTCGATTTAAATGTAAACGAGTTAAAGTTAATGGAGTCCTAAATTCTGCTTCTTTCGTATTTAATAATGCGATCGATAATGATGCTAAAGGCAAACTTCAATCAAACTCGAATTTTGAACGTAATTATACTATCCGATGAATTGCTGAAGAGAATCTTCGACGTTTCCTTTAAATAAAGTAAGAAATTGCTGAGAGTCCGAAAATAGAAAAGGATACGACTTCCTGTACGATGACGACTTTGAATTTTGAAAAAGAATAAATAGATTTGTTTTCTTTAAATTTCTTCTTTAAAACCGAGCACGCTGGCAGGACGCTGTTCAAACAATCTCTGTTTTAAAAATCAAATTTAAGGGAAACAAAATTTATTCCGTTTCATGGTTTTCAAGAATAAATCTAGTCGTGAAAAAATTACGACGTTCTAAAAGCTTATGAATTAATCTCGACTAAAAAAAATGTAGCAATTTCCCCTTTTAATTTAACTTCGCACGGTGAAAAAAAAATGGCAAAAGCCCTCCTTCTATCCGGCGCACTAGTCTTTTATCAAATTGCAAATTACTACTGTCTGGCCACTCTGCCAAAGGAATACTGGCCGACAAAAATCAAGAAAAAGCCTTTAGTCTTTGAAAATGTTGCACGTGGAAATCCCTCATAATCTCTTCCTTTCTTCAATTGTTCCGCATTTGACGTTAAAAGTCTTTCAGTCTTTTATGGCGGTTATTTTTTATATTAGTTGGAAACTATTGGAATTATTTTGTTTCGTTGACATAAACGCATGTGATTATCGAGGCGGTAGTGGGTCGAAACGAGAATGGATTATCGATGGATACGTCAGCCCGTCATATCACGAATCTAAGGAAAACAAGCTGCGGTTTCGGGTCGTTCAAACGGGAGAGTTTCGGGTATTGAAACTCCGATTATCCGTCGAAGCAGCGATCAAGTACCGAGGCGTTGAATAAGACAGACGGGAAGGGTAAGAGAGACGGTCTGCGTCTCTCCGGGTAAACTAAGAGGGCGGTTAGCGACGGGATTTATGCGCCTGCATTAATATGCACCGTCGAGAATTTCAATGGTAAGGTTTCTCGGAGCGGGGAGCCGGAGGAAAACGGGCAGACGTCGGGAACGGGGTGAAACAAGGAGAATGATACGGAGACAGGTCCGAAGGTGAGAGGGAGACAGGGACGTTCGGTCGAATGCCAAACTCTCATCGATGATCAATACTTTCGACTATAGTATAAACGTGCTTAGCTAATAGGGAGGGTCGGTGTACAGTAGACGCAGAAAGTATTAATACGTAATTAATGGAAATCATATTTAAACGATTTCTTTAATTATCGTCCGTGATTCGAGGCAAAGAATACAGAATTATTTTTCAAACAGTTTAGATATCGTTTTTTAGATATACAAATTGTCGCTCCAATTTTAGTATTGAAATTCTTTGATAGATTTACAATTTATTTTAGAAGAGTAGAATTTTCGTGTATTGAAAATGAATTGTCCGATCCGAAAGGAAGGTCTGCACAGTGTCGGCACGGAACGATTATAAATCGGGAGCGTGCAGGTACACGGCTTTTGTAATGACCATCCAATAACTGGCTCATGGCTAAATCCGAGCAAAGCCAGTGCCTGCGAAAAATTCAATTACGATCGCTCTGCGAGCGCCTGATAGCTCCCGATTTCGAAACTCGCATGCACGCACGCTATCAAAGGACTAAAATTGAAAGAATAAAAAGTCTCGATCGTCCGTTGACACACTTTTCAATACTTTTCAAAAGGAATATAGCTCTCTTTGAAAAATTTTGGGATTTTATGGGATTAGATTAGGAGATTTTCTCCTTCGTCGGGACGGCATTACTTTAGAATTTAAGGATGTATTGGCTATACAGNTTGTTTAAGTATATAACCTATACATCCTTAAAGAACTGCGTGAATATATTTGAGAAGAAGAAAATACACAACAGAGAAGGAACAAATAAATTGATTACACCTGAGGTACTCAGATTCAGAACGAGTATTCGCAAATTTATTCATCAGCAAGAGAGTACTAGAGTAGGGCAGGACGGTCCCATCCTGGGAATAGCTAAAAGGCATGAAATTACTGGTGCTCGAATCTCATTGAGAGGACGGCTCGTAAACGGGCAGATTCTAGCGGTTAGATCGCAGTCAAAGACGGAGGGTGGCTCCGTTAAGAGGTCGATAGGGGCTGCAGGGTGACATAATAGCTTGCTCAGGATCCACTTGTGGTCAGTAATCGGACTGGCAGGATCGATATGGACCACGATATGATGATCGTCCCATGTCGTTTGGGGTGAATTCATTTTTGTTCGAAAGCTCATCGTCGTAGTCGTGTCTTCCCTTTTTCTGTCAGGTCACATTATCCTTAATACAAACGTTTGGGAATGAGATGGAAATAAATCTGAAATCAATTTCATTTGGACAATTAATTTATTCTCGTTGATCTTTTCTGACGTTATCTGATTTCTTGAGGTAGCTACTTCTTCGACGTTCGTGCACCGACTAACTGATTTCTGTTCATGGATTAATCCGTGCCCTTCTCCTATGCTTCGATTCTGTCGGTAATTCACAAGGGATTTATGGGTTGATTTC